TTATCATACAACTCACAGTCAAGACAATTCACACTAATACACTTCTGGCATTGTCCATTATCATCAACACCATACCCAACACCACACGAAAGACACCTCGAACTTTTCGTTGCACAAACGTGGCAATTTGGATTTGAAGTTGAGCACTCAACACAAACGCCCTCTTTTAACATAAAAGAACTTTCACACTCGGTGCAATTTCCATCAACTGAACAACTCGAACAGTTTTCGTGTGCAGTTTCACAGTCGACACATTTGTATCCATTTCCATCTACCAATGCGGTGTAATAGTCTTTGCACTTAAAACAGAGACGACTTGATTCGTCGCAAATTTCACACCCATCTATCTCACTGCATTTGTGGCACGTGTTCTCTTCCAAAAAGTATCCCTCTTCACAACTGTTGCAATTTGACTCACTCGAACATCTTCCACATCTTTGCATTGTGTTGTTGCACAACGCGCATTGTCCACTCACCAAATAAAACCCATCCAAACACTTGAAACACTTCCCTGTTTCAAGTGAACATGCTGTGCACCCCTCTATCACTTTGCATGAGTTGCATGTGTGATCCGTGGTGTTGATGAAATACCCGTCTTGACAGATTGTACAATGCTCACTTGTACACTCCAAACACCCATTTGTTTTTGTTGTACACTCTGTGCATTGTGTTGTTGGCAGTGTTGTTGAGAAGTGGGTTTTGTCACAACGCAGACAATCAATGCCAGTCGAGTTGCAGAGCGAACACCCAACAATCCCACACTTCTCACACTTCCCGTCTTTCAATGAATTGTTTGTGTTGCACTCAACACATTTGCCAGTTGTGTCACACCTGCTGCAACTCGCAACTGAACACGACAAACATCGCCGACTTTCTGGTGACAAGTAAAACCCATCAGAACACGTCGTGCAAAACACGCCATCAGTTGCAATACACCCCAGCTGTGTTGTGTATTCTTTGCATTCACCTTCTTCCACAATAAAGTTTATTTCACATTTTGTGCACTCTATTCCTGTGTTCGCAACACAGTTTTTGATTTGGAGACACTCACCATCTTGCAAATAATACCCACTCAGACATTTCGTGCAAATTCGAGTGCTTTCAACATTGCCAACAAGAAGGTTCACACATAACTCACACCCATATATCATTTTGCACGACTTACACGTCTTCTCTGGAAAGAACCCTTCTCTGCACACAGAGCACATGATGCTCTCAGTGCTCGAAGTGGCGCAACTTGTGCAGTTTTGTATTGACGAGGAACAACTTTTACACATCTCATTGTCGAGTATTAATTCACTCTGACATGATGCACACTTGCCGTTTAAAACTTCGTCGCACCCAGCATCTTCTTTGCTAAGACAAACATCCTCTGTGATCTGAATTGAGTTGCATGGCGTGTTTGACGCTTTTTGAACACAAATGTTGTTGTACAAATAATAACCGTCTTTGCAGACAGCACATCTACTGTCGTCAACACTGTCACAATTTGTTGGTTCAACACACTTTCCACTTCTGTCTAAAATTTTATTGTCTTTGCAGTTGGTGCACTTCCGATTGACACACCCCTCACTCCCACAAGACGTGTCACACTGAACACATTGTGGTCCATTCGAGTAAAACCCATTCGAACAAAAAAGACACTGTGTGTCAACGTTGTCACCGTTGCACTTCTCGCAATTTGGGATTTTCTCTTTGCACGACACACACATCCCATTGTTCAAAAACGAGTTTTCTAAACAACTCTCACATTTTGAATTATCGCAAAGTTTACAATTTCTTGTTGAACACGACTCACACTTGCCTCCATTAAAGTAATAACCACTTTTACACACATCACACATTTCTTTGCTTTGACAACTCTCACAATTTGCTGAACACTCTTTGGGTTATTATTATTTAAATATTAACGTTTTATTAATTACAAACTGTTACAAAATCCATTGCTGTTATAATAACCATTTTGTTGACAACTCGAACACATAATGTCGTTGCATCCAACACATCCTTCCCATCTTTGATTGCATTCAACGCATAATTTGTTTGACAGTGTCGAGTTATCGCCACATGCATAACATTCATTCTCAGAACAAAGCGAGCATTTTGAAAATTTGTTGTTGCACTTCACACATAAATTTTTGATGGAGTCAAGGTAATATCCTTCGGAACACTGACTGCAAACGTTGTTTGAACAGAGTGTGCATCCTTCATTGAAATCTCCACATTTTTGTGTTGTTTTATTGATCAACTGATACCCATTTTCACATTTTTTACACCCACTATTTCTATCACATTCCAAGCACTTTTCTCCAAATTTGTCTGAACACACTGGTCGTTAATTATTAAAATTAAACAAAGAAAAAACAAACATAAACATGGTGATTTATCACCACTTTGAAGATAATAACCACTTACACACCCATTGCATTTGTTTGCACCACCATTACAATTTGTACACGAGTCATTACAAGCTAATCATGAATTGGTTCATTTGTAATAAAAACAAACCAACACAACGCCAGTTCTGAGAGGTACATCCTGCACTACAGGCAGAACAAGCGCCTTCCCAACCTATTCTACAGTAGCACTCTATTGATGTTGTGTGTACTGCAAACAATAGAAGAGCAGCAATACAAATCATCTAAATTATTATTTTTCCAGTTTTTAAAAATAAAATAATATGAAGGCTATTGATGAGAAACAGAACTATTCTTTTTTTATTTATAATTTTCTCAACAAAAAAAATCTTTTTATTTCCTTTAACAAAAATTATAATAAATTTATAATATGATAAATTGGTTTACATTTTTTCATAATAAAAATATATAATATTAGTTTTTTAATAATAACATTATTAATATAATCTATAAAATAACACTAACCAAATTATTAAAAATAAAATAATTGTTACATTCCCATTTATTAAAGTTTTATAGTGGTTAATCGAATTCAATAATATTATCATAATCTAGTCAAAACCATGGATTCTTCCGAAACTCATAATTGTATTCTTGATTTGTTTCAACAACAAAAATCTATATAACACAAATAATCTACTCAACCATATATTATAATAAATATATGATATATTTTATAGTTTTGTTTCTTTTTTAAAAATACTTAACCGAAACAAGAAGGCTGGTTGAATTTTTCAATCATTTCGACTTTTTTTTCTTTTTAAATTTAAAAACACCATTCGTATAGTTTTGTGTCTTTTATTCCTAAATAACGATTAATTTTTTAAATTAACACAAATACAAAAACTTACAAATAAAAGATTAAATAAGAGTGTTCAAATTTGATAAATTTCAAACTATCATTTTTTAATTAATAATATGTTAAAAACTATTAATTATGTAAATTATACAAGATGGTAGACATTATAATTAAAAAAGCTTAAACCAAAAATAAGAAAAATGGCATTGTAAAGAAGCTAAAAAGTCAATTTTTGAAATATTGTTTCCCAGCAGCTTGACGTGTTGTTCAATTACAGAACATATTTCTTAGAGAGAGTTAAAAATATTATTATTATATTTATATTTATTATTATTATTATTATATTGATTAACTAATTTATTTTAAAGTGAACAAATTCGTTTTTATACAATAATTATAAACACAATATATTCGAATTGTTTATGTGTTTCAATTAAATTTAAAGTACTTATTATGTTTACAAATAAATTGACTCCTTATTTAAAAAAATGTAAAAATGTTTGTGAAATAAACCTTAATTTTTTATGAAGTAGTTTTTTTGTTTAAATGTGTAAATTTTCAACTGAATTGTTATTCAAACTCAGTGTTTAAATTTTATTGACATATATTGTTACTTATTTTGACTTGTGAACTTAATGGTAATTATTTTTTTTCATAGTAAGTTGTGTGGTTATAATGGTGATAATTATTGTAATAAAAAACAACGATATAATTAATTCCTGAAAAGACAATATCAACAAAGTATTTATTGGTAATTGGTCTACTTATATACTGTATTTAATTCCATTCAATAACTTGATATTATCGGTATTTAGTATCATAGTATTGAAAACAAACATTACATTCAAATTAACAATAAACCGACTATCCTACAAATTGAATATAGTAAATACTTATTTATCATATTACATTAATAATTTATCATATAAATATAAATAAAATACAACACAATTGTTTTATTTTATGTTTAAAAAAGTATTGTTGATTATTGTCAGGTACTTTTTATTTTTTTGTTGTTTCAAATTAAAAAAAACATAACCGAATTGTACAAAAAACTTCGTGTATTCAATGTTTTATTATAACTATATATCATTTTATTGTTGTTTTTTGAAATTGAATAGCACCAAATTAAAAAAAACAATTTTTTTAAAGTGATTTTTGTTTTGTGAAATATTTTAAATGACAATTAAAAAACAATTGTTATTTTTTATTTTTCAACAAAAGGATATTACAGAAAAAGGTGCGAAATGTTGTGATTAACTACAGAGATTGTTTGTTATTTTGCAAATATTATTATACAAACTCTTGTCATATTAACTAATGCAAAATAGTTTGCATTAGTTTAAACTTAGAAAATTCATAATAACAAAACCAGAATAATAAAATTGTTGTAAAATCTATGTTTATCCATTGTTCATGTTTTGGTTGTTCTTGAACTTATATTTATATGTTAAATAATAAATGAATTATGGTACTGACTTACTGATGAATAGTTGTTATAATATTATTATAAGTGTAGTATATTTTATTATAAAAAGTAATACAACTGTTTATAATTAATTGATAGTAAAAAAACAAAACAATATAATTATACTAAAATCAATTAGAATAATAATACAGTTTATATATAAAACAAATAAACTAAACCCTTGTCAAAAACATATAAAAACGAAACTATAAAATAAGCTTATGGCGGACTTTGTATGTCTAACTTACCGTTATAGTGGAGAGCCAATGGAACGTGAGGAGATGCTCGAGCATTTCCAGTCTTACGAGCCTCTATTTTTCATCTACACCAAATCCAACAAAGAAAGTTATCATCCCGTCCGTGAGTTTGCAGTACATATACCTGAACACGACGATGTCATCAAAGCAGCTTCCGAGCTGAATGAGATGTCATTTAATGGTGTTAAGTTGCAAGCGCAATATTCGAAGAAGTACGTAACGACGGTATATATTAAGAACATTCCCGAAGATAAAACAGTTGAAGATGTCGAAGCGATGGTAGCGAAGTATCACCCAACAAAAGTCATCTTACGTGTTCCTTCGTTCAACGAGAATATGGTCGACGTCAAAATTGGATTGAAGAACGAGGAAGACGCCGAGAAATTCTTGAAAGAGTTTAACGGCCAGAAGTTAAATGGGTGGTTTCTTAACATCAAGAGAAAAGAAAATTATAAGCCGTTCATCTGTTTTAATTGTGGAGGATATGGACATAAGTCTTCGGAGTGCGTGAACTTAAAAAAAGATTTCGTTGATACACTCAAAGGAAAAAGAAATCGCACAAAACCACGAAACGTTAAAAATAAAAAAATTGTCGAAGAAGATGATGGAATGATCGATGATGATATCAATAACGAAACGAACGGAGATAAAAAACAAAAGAAATCAAGTAAAGGTAAGATTAGAAATATAAGAGAAGATATGAGTGATGACGAAGAAGCTCAAAATGACGAGTTCAAAATGAAAAAAGGAAGAAAAAAACGAAATTGGTCGGAAGAAGAGGATTTATGATTGAATTTTTTTTATTTTTTATTATTATGTATTTAAATTATAATATAGTTTTTTAAATTATAATTTTTAGATATTAAAATATTTTTCAAAATTTATGTATAATTCATATTATAATAAAAATACAATAATAATATTGTTTTATTGATTTTTGTTATGTTAAACAATAATTGAAAAAAGTTCAGACAAATGTTAATAAAAATTTTAATTTATTATTAATACAATTATAATAACACAACTTAAACTTATTTTTTAAAAATAACTATATATTTCTTAATAAAAAGTTATTTGAATAAAATAGTCAAATACATAGTATTATATTATAAATATTATTGAATATATTATTTAAATTGAATACGAACACTATCAAACCCTGCAATTATTTCTTTCGATTGTGAATCAATAATTAATAATAAAATATTGATTAATAATAATAATAAATAATTTGTAATATGAACTCAAACAAACTTAAAACTACAGAATAAGGGAAAATGTCGGACAAAATTGTTTGCCTCTCTTTCAATTACCTGAAAAACATCATAACCAAAGAAGAAGTCGAGAAATCGATGCAAATGTTCAACCCTGTATTTGTTGAGTGTCTCCCCGCGAAGAAATTTAAAATGAAAGGCGAACCACAATTCATTATCACAACCACGGAAGAAATGATCCAAAAGGCAGTCGCCGAATTAAATGGAAAAGAAGTTGATGGAGTTAAAATAGAGTGTGTCTCTTCTAAGAATACCCCAAACAAGTTTTACATCAAAAAAATGCCAAAAGGCAAAACAGAAA